GGAAGGGACGCATTCCCAACATGCTGTAACTCCCGTTTCCCGAAGCCATGGCACTGACAAGAGTACTGTCATCAACAACTGGCGTCTCGCTGGTTGAAGGTAAGCAGGAGTATCTTCATGGAAGTCCCTGGGCTGCTGCTCGGAGCACTCACAGATCTGGGAACCTTTCCAGGGGGGGCACACAGTATCCCCAAGCCATAGCCCGGGAGTGTCAACTAGCAATGCAGGGTAGCGTTACGTTCCTTGGGGCCTGGGTAGGCCGTCTTTGTGGATGAGGCTGTGGGGATTGGGGCAGAGGCCGTCTTTGCAGACAACGAGGCACACCGGACTGTGGTTCCAGAAATGGGTCCGTAAAGTCCTGAGGAACCCACGGAGCTCGGAACCAGATGCTTTATCAGAAAGCAGGTACCTCTAACCCCCAACTCAGAGAAAAACATTACATAAACACACCAAAACCCGCCCTGGTGGCCCTGCCTAGTAAGGGTTGGATTCTAATTGCAAGGTGTGTGTGGTTCAAACCCACCAACTGCTCCTTGGCAGAAAGATGAGGCTATCCGCTTCGGTAAAGACTTACAGCCTCAGAAACCCCATGCAGGTCACTCCGAGTCAGAATTGACTCCATGGCATTGAGCTTGGTTTGGCTTTTGGTACACGTTACCAAGTATCAGCAGATTTGGGCTACTAACCACAAGATCAGCAGTTCAAAACCAGCAGTCCCTCTGAGGGAAGAAGATGAGGATTTCAACTCCCGTAAAGAGCGGCAGTCTTGGGGACTGAACCCCGCCCTGTAGGGCCCAGAGGAGTCGACATCGACTTTGACATCAGTAAGTTTTTACCCAACAAGATGTCCTTTTCCACCAACACCACTAGGTGGCACCAAACCACAACCAGGGCAGAATGGTCAACGCCACTCCAGGCTGGCCAGTGGGGAAGGCCGGCTGGCTTAGGGAGCCTTGTGTAAATGCGACCCTGAATTCTAGCCCACTGAGGCGCACTCTCACATCATGGTGGAGTTCTACTGAGTCTGCATTTTGCAAATGGGGAGAGAAAAGTGAGAGTCGGGCAAACTTGCCGACGTTTCAGGGCGCAGTACTCACAAAGTGCCCTTCATCTCCCCATGTCCACACTGGTTTATCAAATACTGTGTGATAAACATCCAGACTCAGTGCGAATCCACCCCAGAAATCCGCTTCCCGTAGATGCAGCGAATGACTAGCTTCTAACGTCCGGGGGCACGTTCAGATGAAAAGAGAGAGGCGCCTGGTCCAGCCAGGGCAGCCCTGGAGGATGCAGCATCCGGAGTGCTCAGTCATTTCATCTGAGGAGTGAAAAACCAATCTTTAATGCTCGCCCATCTCCGTGCCCTCTAGAAATAGAAAGGACCTATAATCTAATTCGGGGGGGGGGGCATGGACAGTAATTGGCCCTTAGCTGTAAGATGCCACCACAAATCTCAGGAGTTGCAGGAGATCTCCCTGAAAAGGAACATTGCAAAGTTGTCCAGACAACCAAGTGGTTTCTGAAAAAAGGAAGTAAAAATTAGACAGTGTTCGTCGTCTTCAGTCCGCCCGTTACCTTATTCTACCTGGGCACTGTCTCAGGTGGCCCCCACACGCCTACTTAGAAGGACACTGAAGTTAATGAAGACAACATAAAACAGCACGAGAAACTCCAGTCCTCGGCTGTCGCACCTGTGGCCGGAACAGTTGGAGAAGCTTGCCGCAAGTTTACTTCTTCAGACGGCCTCTACCGGACGAGGCTCACTCTTGAACCAGTAGCCGTGGAGTGTGTCACCGCGTGTGTCAGCATGGAAGGGCCCATGGGGGTGGTCAAGGGCTGATTTCTCAGAAGCCGGTCACCAGGCCTTTCTTCTGAGGCGCCCCTGTGCAGAACTCGCGTTTCCAACTTTTCTGTTAGCACCCAAGTCCGGCAACTGTTTATTTGCTCCACCCAGGGACTCGGCTCTTAAAAGGTATTCCGTGTACGTACGACAGCAGCAGGGAGAAGTCAAGCAGATCAGTGCGACTTAAACGAAACCAAGATGCCATCGGGATTCCTGGGTTCAGGAAGCTCACAGCAG